CTTTCATTACGTGGCTTTCACACAAGCATCTTAGTGTCCATAGGTAAACTCTGATCTTGAATGCAGTCCCATGACAATACTGTCTCCTTATAAAAGGAATTTCCTCAATACAGATTAATGACTTAGTTCTGCTTGGAAGCATTTTCCTGTTCATTCTGTCCTAAATCTACAGTTTGTCCTGTAATCCCGGATGCTACCGCACAAGCTACAGAGCTCAGCTGTCTTCAACAAAGGCAGAAGTAACAGCCTGTTAAATTTCACTGTCTGTAGTGAGGGTTAGTATTGTTTACCCTAAGAGAATTAGCAATCGAAATGTTCGTTTTGAAAAGGGGAAATGTGTCGAGAAGCATTTCCCAGAAGGATATTTATGACATATCCCTCCCCCATGGGAGGAGAAGATGATGACGGAAGAAAGAAAACAATTAAGATGTTTTCCCTACTGGATGATAAGAACTACTATTAAAAAAAAAAAAGGCATTTTAACCAAACAGCTACTGCAGAGAAGGCAGGGGAAAAACAAAGTATTTCAAAAGTCTTCCATGCATATGGTACACATGCTAGCAGACAGGAAAGCAAATTTCAGGCATTTATAACAGAAGTAGCTTCTGCTAATAAAGTATTAATGGGAAAGTCTGGTTGGACTGCTATAGCTCTGAAACCAATTTCAGAAAGCACAGAGCAATGCAATCACTGAAAAGCAGGTGAACTAATCTACAACCCTCATTAATAAAGCAGTTTTTCCTACATTAAGCAGAAGCAAAACAACTGCAACTGGAGGCATACTTTTCTTGCCCAATGGAACAGAAGTCTATCAGGCTTTTAGGTATACAAATAAATTTACTTAAAGCATGATTCATCAGCTTCTATTCACAATTTTCTCTTCTCCTGCAAGGACGCATTACAGTTCTGCTCCTTTCTACAATTCTTTTCTACACCACCCGTGGGTTAGAGCCACGGCTATGTACCGGTTTTGTTAGTCACACTGTAAGCACAGACTTAAGCTTTTTGTGCCGCATAGCTTAAGCCAGTCATGCCCATTCCATGTGCAGGGCTGAAACTGAAGTTCAGAACAGATTTTCCACCACCAGAGTTCCACATTTCCTTGCTTCAGCTGTGAACCACTTCTAGATAGCCCAGAATATGGCAAAAGGGCGAGCTAGCAGCGCAACAGAGGAATCTTCTCCCAACAGCAAATCAGTGCTCCCACCGTGACTCCTCATGCTTTCACACAAGGGTCCAACTCATTGAGTAACCAGTAAGCAGCCTGTTTGGAGTCTCGTGCCTCTGCTGCACATTAGCCAAGAATTCCTGGACAGGCCTCTCAATTACTCTGATCAAAAGCAAAAAGTCACTCAAATCTAAAATTTCATTACCCTTTTGCTAAAACCAGGTTGGCTAAAACCTTGTCTTGCTGCTGCCACTCTAATAGTTCCTCCCTTCCCCAAGGTTTTTCCCAGGGACCAGCTTGGTTACAGGCAGCGGGAGAAGCAAGCGCTCACTTTCCACAGTCTCAGGGTTTAGCCAAAAGGAGAAGTTTGAGTCAACTGGCAAAGAAATGAAGTTGGTTTTTTGTTTTGTTTTGTTTTTTTTTATAAAGAATCGGGATCACACACTCCACAAGTGAGTCACAAAAAAGCAAGTGATGCCCTAGCAGTCAGGAAAACTGAAATAGATTTACACGATAAAAAAAACCTTCAAGTAATTACATTTTGCAAAAACTTAATGTGACACCACTAGAAAAGAACATGCAAGACAATCAAATACAAACTTAAACCTCCATATAGCTTTTCCAAAAGGAAGTAGCACATAAAAATAGTACATCCATAGACCACTTGTGTACTTAACATGCATCTTGCCTTACCAAAAGCATCTCATGTAATTTGGAAAACATTCGTGGAAACATGGAAAAGTTGAATGTTATCCTTAAAGAGACTACTGACGTTAAGTCGGGCTTGAGATACTGTTTAAGGCAGAAAGTTTCTGCTTTACAAAAAGGCTAGGTTGAAAGGAATCCATTTGATGGTTTTAACTATTGACTTTAAATTGCTGTTCACAAGAATAAGCTTGCTTTTCTTCTGTAGGCTAAAGTTGGGTTGGTTTGTTTCTTTTTGGTTTTGTTTTTTTTGTTTTGTTTTTTGTTTTTTTTTTTTACCAGCCTGCAAAGTGACTGAGCTTTAGTCATTACATGAAGCAAAAGTGCCATCGTGTGGCTCTGTTAGCGCTTGCTGGTTAAGCTGCTGCCTTTTCAGGTCATATTAGAGGTACTGATATAAAAATCCCATTTTTTAAACAGTTCAGCCTTAGAAACAGTAAAAAAAACTCCTACCTAGCTCACATGTTTATGGACTGCCGGCGATGTCCTCAAATCCTAGCTTGAGGACAGTGTTTCAGCCTTAGAAACAGTGAAAAAAAACCCTACCTAGCTCACACATTTATGGACTGCCGCTATGAAGGGCGATGTCCTCAAATCCTAGCTTGAGGACAGTGATAGCCATGGTTGGCAGGACTGTTTATTCTGGTGTAGGAAGAGGGCATTCAAAGTGTCATTTTAAAGGTCTGGAAGGGACCTGCAGTCCTGCCCCTTATCGTCCACTCCTGTGGTATTTAATCAAGGAGGCTACTGAGACCAAGATGACTTGTAGGCATGCCTGGAATGTCAAGCCTTGCTTCCTTACAGAGGCTAAGGACACCACACATTTAAAAAACAGAAACCCCACTACCTAGGGAAACAAGAAATTAAATACCATTAAAAGCATCTGCCAAATGTAGTTTGAAGGTCTAAAATGCCTTTTTATGAGCAGTCTCCGCTTTTTATACGGAAGAATTAATTGGATATATGTATTTTACAGAACTAATCCGTGATTCAGCACGAAAATTAATGAAATGAACAGACAGTTGGAACTGCTGCCAAGAGTGGTCATTTTAGACCTAGCAACCTTGGAAAATGACCTTTTAAATAATGAATTTGGAAAAGCACACCACAAACCAACAAAAATGAGCGCTATTACCTATAAAGGCTGCTAATAGCAATAGCTTCTAAAGAATGAAGACATTAAGTAGATCGTATAAACTTGCTGGAGCTGCCGTTTATGTATCAAACATCCAAAGCACTGAACATACCTCCCTCAACGCACTCCCTAATGTAACTCCAGCTTCCCTCAGTATATGTTTCCACCCACTATACTACAATCCACTGAGGCCAGGAGGGGAGTAGAGCTGTAGAGCATTATGAAAGCGAGGAGATTACAAAATTAGGCCTAGAAGGCTAGCACGGCTTCCCCACCTACTTAGAAAAGGGTAATTAAACAAGAACTAATGCAACATATTTAGACAATTCCATTGATTATTCTAGAGCAGGATTTTTCTGTAAAGGGGATGACTCCCTGCTAAACAGAAGCATCACATTTTCTTTTGACTTTGAAATCTATCGTATTGAAATGAAATGGAAGTCCACC